TCTATCTATCTATCTATCTATCTATCTATCTATCTATCTATCTATCTCAGCATGTTTCCAAGCTCAAACCAGAATGTTGTTCCTACAATAAATTCAAGGTCTCACTTGTGCTTGTGAATGTCCTTGGCCCCATTTTTCCGACTTCCCAGTCTCTCTGAGGGTTTGCTTCTGGGTGATGGAAGGGAAAGAACAAACCAATGAACATTACATTTATAAAACAAAAAGAAGTATTTCTTCCTTCAAAGGTGGAAACAAAACAGATCAATAGACGCAGAAATTAAAAGAATTCAAATTGACACCTGCACAGTTTCTTTATGAGGTCGCAGGCGTCTCTGCAGATGATTTTAGGGAATTCTATCTGATCGACGCCGTGAACGGCTGCGGTGAGGAACTTCAACGCATCAGAGTCGTCAAACGGGAGTCTGTAGAGGAAAACACAAACCATAAAAAAAACTTCCACCTGAACCTGGATGAATGGGCTTAAAAATCAGAGCTTCTCAAACCTGCAGAGCTTACCCACCACTCAGAAGCTCAAACACTAAAACACCCGTCGACCAAAGATCTGCTAATACACCGTGGCCTTGGTTCAAGATGACTTCAGGTGCCACGTAGCCCGGCGTCCCACAGAACGTCCAGGTTCTCTTACCTGTCTCAACCTTCTTCATGCATCTGGAGCTGATCTACAAACACACATCTCTACAGTCAGCCAGTGAAAACTTGGATGACCAAACATAAAGGATGCAACTGTAGTTACCAGCTTAGCATAGCCACGCTCGTCCAGAACAACGTTCTCGGGCCTGACGTCTCTGTGGACGACCCCTCGGTGGTGAAGAAAAGTCAACGCCTCAATGACACAAGCTGTGTAAAATCTGCTGCTGCAGTCATCCAAACATCCTCTGGAACATTATTGAGAAGTATGAAATTATTAATTGACAGAATCGTCAGGTTTTCATTGTTTTTATAAATTCAGTTCAATTCAAACTTCATTTATATAGCACATTTAAAAACAACCACAGCTGACCAAAGTGCTTCACAAGAATTACATCATAGATTTAAAAAAAAAAAGATAAAATAAATAAAATTGAGTTTAATAAAATATAAGATAAAATTTGCAGTAAAATACCAATTAAAAAAAACAAGACAAACTATTTCATATTTGTTGCAATTTCCCAAAAACTCAAATCAATCAGGTACTAAAGGATAAAGGATATTTAACAAAAGTGCCTTTGACAGAGTGCTTTAAACTGGAAAAAAGGCAAGAATTTAAGGAAAAAAGTTTTCAAAAGAGCAAAAAGATGATAGAAAATACAATCACTTTGTGCTTTAGGTTTCTATGTGAAAGCTTTTTGTCCGGTAAGCGCATTAGATCAGAAATATTTCACAACACTTTGACTTTTGTCATGAATATTAATTTCCTGTTGTTTAAGATACTCACTTATCTTTAAGTAGACAAGATAAATCCCCACCCAGACAAGCTTCTGTTAACAAGTACAGATGCTCAGCGTCCCTAAAGGTTTTGTGTAACCTGCATTTAATGTGAACATAGAAGCATGTTAGATGTTTTTTGATCATGTGACTGAGACGATAAATAAAATCGTTGCTGCGTAAGAGACACCTGATGATGAACGGACAACGAGTCTCCATCAGGACGTTGCATTCTCTCAGAACGTGTTCACGTCGGCCGCTGCTGACGATCAGCTTCTTCTTGAGGACCCTCATGGCAAAAACATGCTCCGTGCTGCTCTTTAGGTGCACCTGACAAATCGATACATTAGCATGTAGATGCAGGGAATCTGAATGAAGCAGCAGCAGGGATCATGTTATTGATGCAAGGTCAGCCCTCACCAGGTCTTCGTGACCAAACTCTCCAACTCCCAGCGTACGGATAATCTGAAAATCACTTAAGGTGGAAGATGTCAGGGCAGCAGGATCCTCCGTTAAGCTGATAGGGAGGAAAAACAAGAATGAGCTCCTCCTTGGTGTTGGTTATAAAAAATAAAATAATCAGAGCTGTAATTGTCCTCACTCTAATGTGGGTTCATTGATCTTCTGCGCCTCTTGACAGCTGTCAGATACAGACTCATCCACAACATTTTTAAATGTCCTGAAACACAAAGAGCTATGAGCATTCCCCAGGTTCCTGGTTAGAAATGTTTCTGTATGACAAATAACAGAGAGAACATCTGAATGCAGCACACAAAACCTAAACTTACTCTCTATCTATGAGCAGACATGTCACCTCTCCAACAGCCCTCACACTCACAGTGCGAGTGTCTTCTCTGAAGACAAAACCACACGATTATGACAGCAAAGCTTTGACACATGAACAAAGACTGTATTTGCAGACATCTCTTGAGAAATAGTTTTCTTCTTACCCCCACAGAGCTTTTTCTCCAAACCACTGCCTCTCAGAAAGCTCAGCCAGGACCATCTCCTCCTGATGGCCCAGCTTCTTTTCTGACACGGTCACCTAGCAAACCCAAAAGACCGTGCAATCACAAAAACTAGGAATAAAAAAAACTGTCATGTTTGAGAGGAGTTGAGCCCAGGATGCAGACAAAATCTCTAAAATTCTTAAAAACTAATTTATTAAACAAGAAAACAAAACAAAAAGTTGATGAGGCAGCACAAAATACTCACAAATGAGAAACTCAGGACTGGCTGAATGGCTGTAAAAAGCAAAATGCACAAACACAAGTGAGAAAAACGACACAGAATTTAAAGGGAAACTACGGTGGCCCTGAGGTGTAAATGAACAACATTTAAAAAAATGGAATTACATTTAAAAAAAAAGAAATTACATTTGAAAACAAAATGCAGCAAAAACACAACAACATTTGAAAAAAACGGAACTACATTAAGCCAAACCAGAAGTAGTGTTTTGACTGTGTTTTATTTTATTTTTTTACTTTATTAACAACATAAAACAGAACAATGTACAGTAGGGTCATTTCTAATATTCGATGCCTTTTGAGTCCCCATGCCATAATGTGGTATATTTTGTTTAAAGGTGGACTAATATTTATTTTATTAATTTTGTTTTACATGTTTGACTCATCTCAACTATAAAACACAACCATATATTCACAAGAAAATAATTTAATATAATATTAAATGCAACTTGGGTTTCCAGTCATGTCCCCTTTCGTGCTTCCTGTAGTTAAGTGATTATTCTAAGTAATAAAAATTAAAAATATATATTTTTGAAATAATTTTGTAATGGTACTATTTACAATAGTTCTCATACAATGACTTTTTATGATATTTAAAAAATGCTTAAATTACTAAAAATAAATTGAGTCAACTGTCAACCCTGTTACTCTAAAATACCTGTCACCCCCGATTTGGCTTAATGTAATTCCTTTTTTTTTTTCAAATGTAATTCTGTTTTTTTTTTTACCACTTCCGCTTTGGCCACTTCTGCTTCGGCTTTATGTAATTCCATTTTTTCAAACTTTGTTGTGTTTTTGTTGTGTTTTTTTCAAATGTAATTTTATTTTTTCAAATGTAATTCCGTTTTTTCAAATGTTGTTCATTTACACCTCAGGGCCACCATATAGGGAGAACAATGAGGATCAGGTGAGAGGGGAGGGGCAGGAGTTAAACTACATGAGGTGAAAAACACCTGGGAAGCTGAAAACACAAGTAAAACAAAAACACAAGAATCACAGAAAAACTAAATGAAAGGCACACAAGACACAGACCCTGACATAAACACTGCAAAAAGATGGGAATTCTACAACTACACTGGCTTTTGGCTTTCAAAGCGTAACACTGTTTTGTTCTGAAAGCCTCAATGCATCAACTTTACCTGTCCTTTGGTGATGATATAAAAGGTGTCTCCTGTGGCTCCTTGTTGAATGATGAAGTCGCCGTCTGTGTAATTAGCCTACGGTGGAAAAAAGTGACAGACAGCTGAGCAAACAATAAGAAAGTAATTGCCTCTGAGGCAATTGTAGCCCCTTTATTTTCAGATAGAAGCTGGAAATTGAACGTTTGGATGGGACAGCATGTCTGGACACAAGGTTTATTGTCTGGGTTCTGTCTGAAGAATGAGTGCTGCTTACACACATCCAAAGAAGCTCATTTGTACCTCTTTCATGTGCTCAGACATTTCCATGATGACATCCTCTGCAAATGATTGCAGGAAGGGAAGCCTGCACACAGAAGCAAACGGAGGCAGGTCTGAACAGGTTTTCATTCTTTCGAGAGCTTTTTCAGACAGATGTTGTGAAGATTCTCACAAACAGGACAAACCCCTAAGATTGAGACAGCGTTAATTGTCAAATCAAGTCTGATTTTTACCCTCTCAGAAGCTCCACTGAATAAGAACGGTGGTTGAGTCTACATTGTGTAAGCACTGTTTGGTAAATTTTGCGGTCAATAACCCACAGGCTGCTGTCCGTTTGAGCTGCAGATAAAAAAGACAAAGGCAGGAGAAATGATAACGGTCATATCAGTGACACGAGGGCTCAGGCGTAAACTCCAAGAATATCAAAGACCCTTGCTGCCTGAGGCGGTTATGGTTGAACTGTTAAGAATTGGCTAAAGAGCAGTTTAGTTCAGGTCTGCTTTAAAAGAAATTTGCCTTCTGCTCACAGAGGAGATGGAAGATAAATCTAATCTAACTCTCTAAGCCATAAATACCCTCCTTCTTTAGAACAGAGCTGGAAAGTGGTGTAAATTAATAATGACCCGTATTGATTGATTCACAGAAGCTTCCTGCAAACGGAAGTATAGATGTCCTTGAGACAATCTAATTATATCCAGCATTTAATGGTACAGTGCTGCTATATAATTTACCTCATTCGAACGTACAGCTGCGGTCAGAGGTTTACATACACTCATCTTAAGCATGAATGTCATTTTTATATTAATTTTGGACTTTTAGTAAATTGTTTGAACCACGTTTGAATTTAGTGTGGATTTTCTTTAACAGGGTCAAAATTATACATACAGGCTCAAGTTTCAACAAGCGTTCACCTAAATCTTGTAATAGGTGGTGCTGAAGGTTCTCAAATGTCTTTTAACTTGACATGACCAAGATCTTTAAGTTTTTTTGTTGTTGATTGTGATTTAATACAGCTGGTAGTTTCTCTTGTATATATATTAAAAAACATGTGTTCAACAGCACTTTTTGAATTGACCACTACACATCTGTCACCCTCAGATGTAAAGAAATTGGTTTAGATGCCCAGGAATGACTTGACCTGAAAAGGAAGATGAGGGTAAAGATAATGGATGGATGGATGGATGGATGGATAGATGGATGGATGGATGGATGGATGGA